CATTAAAATATTTAATTTTATATTGGTTTACAAATAAAAGCTAAAAATCACCATTAGTCAACCAAACTGAGTAATGATTTTTAGTTTTAATATGTCAAAAACAAAAAATATTCAAAGCCAAAAACTTAATTGGAGACACAACGTTTAAATGTATGTTTTGGCACTTAGCTTGTCTTCTTGATTTTTCCTTCAAATTAGCACGATTATACTCATACAGTCATACTTCATTTTCAATTTGGTGTATATATATATGATTTTGTTTTTTTTTTTTGATCAAACTGGTTTTTATAAATGAGAAAAGTATTTACGCTCCATCACATGAGGAGTTACAACAAGATAAAAGTGCTGTCTTAGGTAAAACATCTGCCTTAACATTGTTAGCACGAGAGATAAACGTAAAAGAAATAGTTTCAAAAGATGAACTTAAGAGCCTAATATCATAGAGAATGCCATTTAGCTCGATGGTAGAAGTACCCGAGTTAATGAGAGAAATAAAAACTTGGGAGTCCGAGAACATGTTCAGCTCTTGAATACCGGCTGCGATTGCATCCTCTAACGCCCCTTTCAGTGCTAGAGCTTCCGCACACAGTGCTGATCCGACGTGCCTTCTATAAAAAGTACCCTGAAACATATCATCTTGCTCTGCATTCGTGAAAAGCCATCCCATTCTGCAATCGTCTGTGCTTGCGATCCAAGCTGCATCGACGAAACCGTTAGAGACTTCAGGGAGCCTTGGGATTGGTCGAGCCGTTGCACTTTTAACTGGTTTCGTGAGGTGAGATTGAGCTTGATGCCATTCCCGTGCCTCTCTAATTGATTTGAGCAATGTTTCTTCTTCTGAATACGATCGATTTTCAAAAACCAATTGGTTCCACGTTTTCCAGAGATTCCATAGCAGCCAAGGGTATAAAGGTGTGGAACCTATTCCAGTAGGGGGTAAATTAATCATCTTCACCAGCTCTTGTAGTAACTTACTCGAAGTCTCGATATCCTCTGGTTGCGGCTTATACAGAACATGACTCATCTCCTAGACCCGAGCGGCATACGAACAAGAAAAGAGCAATGAAGTTCATCTTCCTGTTGGTTACACCTCTTGCACAGGCTGTCTGTCACTGTGATGCCACGTAGAGCCAAGTTACTGCTAACGAGGAGTGTTTTATTGATGATCTTCCACATGAAGTGTTTGATTTTAGGCGCTATTTTCAATCTCCATATGCACCTTTTCCAATTGAAGTCAGTTGGACCTACTATTGGGCTATGTTGAAGCAGAGCATAACCTGATTTAGAAGAGTAGACCCCTGACTTCTCTGGTAGCCAAACCCGTGAGTCTTGCATATGATTACAACTAGGGACTAGCTTTCTAATAACATCCTCATATTGAGATAAATGGGCTCTTATCGCCGGTAAATTCCATTTGTTGGAAGATGGTACCAGAAGATCGCTC